CTATATTTACAATAGTAGAATGAAAAATTTTTCATCTTTACCTGGATATGCTTTTTAGCAATCAGCCTGCAAACACCATTTCTAAAATAAGTTTCATGATTCAGTGTTGGCTGCAACATTCGTCCATCTTTTGCCCAAACAATAGACGGACTTGGTTCTGATTGGACAATACACTCAAACCTTGCTGATTGACCAGAAACTGCTGCTATATCTTTGAGAGGCTGAAATAATAAATCAAATTATATTTAACTCTGCACTTAATAGACAAATATTTCTATTGGTAATGTGAAATTACTGTTATAAATAAAGGAGGTTTAGCTATTTCACCATTGTGTCCAGTGGAGTATACTCTTGAGCTGGCTGGAGTGCTGTTGCAGCTGCGATCTGAAAATTGAAGATAATTATTAATTAACAATTTTCAATTAACTCCATTTTTGAAACGTGCAAATAATTCAACAAAAATATACTTTCGAAAATTACAAAATTCTAGTAAAGATACCTACTTCGTTTTACAGATACACTCATACAAGCATGCAGCATCAAAATAAATATAGATATATTATAACTGTCTCGAAAAACGGTAATTGTTAATAATTTTTGATCAAACAACACTCATCGAACCTGAAGCATCAGGTTGATAGAAATATCGTGGCGACTGCGACGGTATGCTGGGAGATAAAGATTTCGGACTGGGTGTAGGTTGATCGTATCTCCAGCCTTGGTGTTTCATTTCTTCCGCATCCGACCACTCGCTCTCCGATTCCCATTTCACGTTTTTGTGAGTACTTTGGGGCTTTTTACACAATGGCAAGGTATTGAAACCCTGCTGAACACCGTTCGACTTTTCGTGTATGATTGGAACTTCTATGTCGCCGGTGCGCCCGGACGACTTTGCAGAGGAACCACCACCGGCCAAAACTTTCTTTCCCTCGCCGGGGAACAAAATACCGAACTCATAACCAAAATCGTATTTGAAATATATCAAGCCAGTGTCTGGATCTATGTGCTTAGTTCCTAATAAAACGTATTGAATGTCCGAAATTAAAATTTGTAGTATTAAAGTTAGACTTTAAAGAAACGAAAAGGTCAAATGTGTTTATAATTACCTCGTTAAGTAAAAAATACTGCACATAAGCATTAGCTGCGTGTAAGATAAACAATTATAAGTTAACAATTTAACATAATTTTATTATTCAATTAGATTTTAAAAAAACGTAGTTGTTTGCAATTAGTATGTGAAATTTACTTTCTGTAAACATTTTTGTTCAAATGTTAAAATTCATATTTATGTGTTTTTTATACGAATGTATAAGCAAATAAATCAATCTTATATTTAGAAAAATCATAAACCCACATTTTGATTTTAAACTATAATTATATTATATTTCTCACCGTATTGAGCGAAACGTGATTCCTCCCTGTAAGCTTGCGCATTGCTTCCGCCGTCTTCTACATTCAATTTCTGCTGCGATGTCTTCAAGATAGGTTTCTGTTGCTTGCTCTGCTGCTTTACATCAGTCAAAACATCATCTGCAAATCTGTGCACTTTACTTCTAAACATTTCCGACATGTCCGTCATATGAGAATTTGCTAAACTTGTCGCGACATTGGTAAAAGTTTCTTTTTTATAACTATCTTGTTTCATTTGCATAGATTTTCGTATGTCTAACGTTTTGGAAATTTCTGTCGGCATAACTGGCGGTTCTTTGTCAAATTCCATAGGGGTCATAACTCTTCCATAAGATCTAGGTAAACTTGCTGATCTAGTAAATACAGGTGCACGAACTTTACGGTAGTAAGGTTCTTCAGAATCACTGTCCGGAGGAGCCCATTTTGCCTTGATTCTTGTCGATTCCACTTCGCTCTCGTAATCGCTTTCCCTGAATTCACCAGGTATAAATTTCTTAGGTTTTGGCACTGAACCCGGGGCGGATCTAGTCTTAGGTTTTTCAGCTTCCGGTTTGTAAGGAAAAGGTTCTAATTTAGTTTCTTGTCTTGTATCTTCACCGAATTTTATTACTCGAGTAGTCTGACTAATATTTAGTACTCGATGGCTGCTCTCAGTACATTCATTAAACTGCATGCATTTTGATGTCTCTATAGCATTTGCAACCGGAATACCAGCTTTTCCAGTATAATACTGTGTACGTTTTGGTGGCGGCACGTATCCCATTTCAGGCTGTGGACCTGGCTGTAAAATTATTTCTTTTCTAACAGCAGGTGTAGCAATTATGTAATCTTGAACAAGAGCTTTTGCAGCTACAGGTTTTGGCTTATATATTTGTTGTTTCGTAATCGTTTTATTATTTTCAAAAGTTTTTGTTTTGGTATCTAGCTTTTCAATTGGCGAGAATTTAGGCCTGGGTGGTCCGGTAAACTCGGGAGGATTATCAAATTCTGTAGGAGGTGTTGGTGACTTCTGACCGTCGGAATTTTGAGAATATCTGCCCGATTTTGGGGCACTTAGAGATACACGCACCGGTCTATAAGTCTTTTCATCCGTATCCGACTCGATTGGTCGCCACATTGCTGGAATTCGAGAATCATAATCGCTTTCATAGTCACTTTCGCGAAATTCGCCTTTAACGAATTTGGAAGGACTCGGCGGTGGCGGGCATGATGCTCTTTTCGGTTTAGGAGCATCAGGTTTGTAAGGAAAAGGTTCCAACTTGTCACTGATCTTAATTTCGCGAGACGTCATCGAAATATTTTTGATTGTCGCATCCTGAAATTTGAAATATAATCATTAATAAACAAACATTATAACATATATAGTTAAGAATAATAAGCATACTCTCACGTGTTAAATAAAATTACATTCATAATTATCCAAAATATCAAAATCAATCAAAAAAATCTACCATTAACATATTAATATTGATTTAACTAAACACAAATAAAACACAGTACGATCAGTGTACAAACAAATCTTCATACTCATTATCATATTCAAAATTATTAGTACTTCCATGCAAACTCAAACACAGTTTCAAACCTTAGATTCAGATGCTACTACTGGCTGCACAAAAGTTTTGTCAGCCCTAACGTGATGACGATAAACTTTAATTGGTGGTGATTTTCTTTCTGTTGATTCATAAGAAATATTTGTGCTTTCATGCTGATATGATTTAGATTCTGTCATTTTAGAAAATCTTCTTAAAGTATCTTCAGTGTCCGCCATGTATCCACTCTCAGGTTGAAACTTTGGCTTAGTTTTTGGCGATTCCACTTTTACTTTCTTAATCGGTTCTGTTTGTGCAAAAACTGGTGGTGGACCTGGTATTAATACAGGTTCAGATGAAACAATATCACTTATCTGTGACACTTCTGAAGTTTTTGAATGTTTTTCAGATGTAGTAGATTTTATAAATGATTCTTGTTGAGCTTTATCTACTTTCATTATAGACTTTTCTATTTCCAATGGTTTTTCAAATTGACTAGGCGGCAAGCTAACCGGTTCTGTTGAAAGTGGTCTTTTTGGCGCTGGACTTGGTGCTTGTACTCTTCTAAATCCTTTAATATTATCTTCCTTTACTTCGCCAGGTGTCCATTTACTTTTAATTTTAGCGTTTTCAATCTCACTTTCATAATCGCTTTCTATAAACTCTCCTTTAATAAATTTGGACGGAGTTGCTGGAGGTGGACACTTCATTTTCGGAACTTCAGGTTCTGGTTTAAATGGAAAGGGTTCTAATTCTGGGAAGGGCTTAAATGCACTCAACTCCACAGTTGGTTTGGCAGGAAGAGGAGGTGCAGGTGTATATTGATCTTTAGGCGGAATGGGAGGGGCAGTTTTTGGAGGTGGAATTGTTCGTACAGCTCCTGGAAGCACACGGGATGGAATTTTGTCCAATGCTTTTTCTAAATCTTGCTCGATCGTTTCTACATGTGATTGCCTTCTCTGTAAAGTAGTTCTTGGTGCAAAGCACATTTCAGGTTCTGGTCCTGGTTTTAGTCCTATATCATCTTTAGTTTCACTGGACATGCTCATATCTTCTCTGGTCTTTGAAATTAATTTCTGTACCATTTGCGGAGATTGTAAAGCGTAGTCATCTCTGAAGGCATGACGTTGCCAAGATTTTTCTTCGGTTTTAATCTCTTTAAATATTTTGCTTTCCTTTTTAATTTCTTCAGAAATTATGGTAGAATCAATAACTGGAATGTTTTGCTTTTCTGAAACAGTTGTATGTGCAACATAATGTAATTTTTGTTCAGGTCGTTGAATTTTTGGAAGTGTATTGTATTTGATGGATGCATTATCATCTACTTGTGATTTATGAGTTACTGTTTCCAGTTTTGGCATCTCTTGAGCTTGTTTTGGTGACCATACTGCAGGAAATGACGAATCTGACTGTTTATGCACTGACATAACATCATATTGTGAGGACGTTTTAGTTTCTTCTTTTTTCAAGCTGGTAATGGTTTCCACTTTTTGTTCTTCTTCTTGCATAGGTGGCCAAACAATAGGAAGTGAAGAATCTGGCCTCTTGTGTGACCATATCTTATCCATTGCAACCCCATCAGCAGATGGTACTCCCTTATCTGAAGTTTGCGACATTTCAGAAAAGGACCTGTATTCATTATCTGAAGACCAGTACGTGCTGGATTTATCTTTTGGTGAGATTGGTCTATTCCAAAGCTTCTGCATGTCAATTGCCTCCGCTGACGGTCTTGGAGATGTAGGTCTTATTTCAATATCTGATGATGGGCGATAAACAGGTTCTGTTATAACTTTATTTTCATAGGAAGTTTGTTCAAATATTTGTGAATTAAACTCAGCTTTTAAACCATCCAAAGGACATTCTTTAATTTCTTCTTTCGGAGTTGGGGGTATTGAAAATAATTTTATACCGCCCGTTGGAGGTACTACATCATCCTTTTGTATTTCTTGTAATTTCTTAATTTTTTGTGCTACATCCTCAGTTCTTTTCACTGAACCTGTTTTGGGCATATATCCAATTTCTGGTGGTGGTCCCGGTTCTAAACCAAAATCTTTGAGTAATGATTGGGAATATTCTTGTTTAGTTACTAATGAGTATTCAGTAATTTTAGGACCATAAGTAACCTCTTCTATGGGAGCAGGAACGTAAGGAAAAATTGCAACCTTTGGTTCTTCAGGTTTAACAATCTGTTCAACTGGCGTTTGCATTTTAGAAACAAAAAAATCTAATGCAGATTTTTTACTAATCGATCCAGATTCAATCCCATCTGTTTGACAAATGGCAAAAGGTTGTATATCGGTGACAGTAGACTTATCAGAGCTTGCTGTAGTTTCAGTGTTCATGCCAAAAGATAATTTAGGTTCCGTTTCTGATTTCTTATCCATGGTTGAGATATGCGCAGTTTGGGTTTGCTGAGTTATTGAAGGAAAATCTGTTCCAACGGACATAGATGTTTTATGTTCCATTTTGAATTTTTGTTCTGTTTGCCGAGTTTCAGTAACTAAAACCGATTCTGTTTGTGATGTTATTTGAGTTGTAACTTGTGAGTTCACATTTGAAGTCAAATCCTGATGCATAGGTTCCGAAGTAACGGGTTGCTGAATTAATGATGTCATGGGTTTCTATGGTACAAATATAGTGAACAATGAGTTGAAAAAAGGATAAATAATATTATTTAATAAATATAATATCCTAAAAATGATTCTAAAAAAAACTGAAATTAGATATTATATTTATATATACATACTTTTTGGGTTTGATCTTGTAAATCTTCATACACCATAGTCTTAACAACTTCAACCATAGTATCGGGAGTAGGTTCAAATACTGCAAAGTCTGCTATACTTTGAGCTTCACCTCCAGCATTTATGGCACGTACCATATATTTTCCTGTATCTTCCATGGATACTATTGATTCAAATGTAAATTAATACTGACATAGCAAATAAAAATGTATGTGTTAGTGATAAGAAATTTGCTCAAAATAGGTTTACTTTAAATAGGCAATCTACAAAACATGAATATTATATAATCAAATTTGATCAATATGAAAGACAAGTGCATACCTTTATCGATGATTAATTGATGACACAGCCCTTGTGTTTTTAATCGAAAAGGATTTGCCATTGCTTCTTGAATTGGTTTACCATCTTTATGCCACGTAACAGTTGGTTCAGGTGTACCAGAAACTTCAACTTCCATAATGACCCTATCACCTTTCTTCACAACTTGTGCTTGTAGCCGTCGTCCGAAAACAGGCGGAAAAACGGATTCTATATAAAGAAAACATGGATTTAATATAAAGTACATGTTTTAATGACCACATTTATCAGAACTTACTCTTAACAACAATATCTGCTGTGCTGCTAACAACGCCTGCACTATTAGTTGCCGTACACGTGAATCTACCGGCGTCTTCTATTCCAACATTTTTCAATTCTATTCTAGCTTTGTTGAATTCATAAGTCATACTGATTACATTTCCACTCACGTACAAATCTTGCCCATTCTTTGTCCACTTTACCACAGGTGTTGGGTATCCATCTACAATACCTTCCAGCACAATATCTGAACCCTTATCGACAATCCTCCCCACCAATGGAGATATAAATCTAGGTGAAACTGATTTTCGTACATGATGAAATATTTTCACTGGTTCAATTTTTGTCGTTACCGATTCCGTAATGCTGGTGTTTTGATCCATAGTAGTACTGGATAGTGTTTCCTCTCGTGTTGAAGCTGGTTCTTTATCTGTTTGATGATATTCTTCAATTTTTTGCGTTTGAGTTACAACTGGTGGTTCATTGTTAATCTGTTTCTCTGTACTGTGAGATTGACTAGTTACTTGATGAACTACATGCTTGGGTTCTCCACTGCCATAAGTAGTGCTAGAGTGCGAACTAGATTGGGTAATAATTTCCTGTTTCATGTAAATGGATTTTGTATCATTAGAATTTTGTTCGATAATGGGCATTACTAATTCATGATGTGTTTGCGAGGAATCTACGCTCAAAGCGGCTACGCACGTAGTTCTCCCAACTTCGTTTTCAGCTACACAAGAAATATTACCTTTTAAATTTTCAGTTACTGCTGGTATTGTTAAAATTTGTCGATCTCCGCAAGTCGATACCAAAAAGTCTTTGCCTGTCACTGGAGAATTATTAAAAAGCCATTTAATCTTGGTGTAGGTTTACCTGTTACGATACACTCAAATTTCGCCGGACATCCATCCGGAACTTTGCAATCGGAGAATAATTCTTTGAATTGAGGTGCAATGTAACCAAACTCTGCCTGAATCTGCACGGGTTTTTGACTATCTCCTACGTTTACTGATTTTACTATCAAATTGGCGAAGCATTTAGCGTCTCCGTTTGTATTAAATGCTTTCACGGTATATAAACCTTTATCATCGGGATGTACTTGCAGAATTGTTAAACTAACTACACCGTCGTCTTTTAAGCAGATATCATACCGTTCATTTGATATTAATTCTCGAGTATTATGATACCATTTAACATAAGGTTTCGGATCACCAGTCACTTCACACTCTAATAAAACTTTCTCGTTTTCGGGAACTAAAACGTCCGTCAACAACCTTGTAAATTTAGGCGCAAACCCAGTCGGTAAAACTTTCTCGGGCGGTGTTACTTCTTGGGGTTTATTGACTTTAAGGATACAAGTACTGGACGCTTCGCCTGCGGAATTGATCGCAACCACTTTATAAACTCCAGCATCTTCAGAGAACACTTCTCGAATGATTAACGAACACCTATCTCCTTGAAACAGGAGTTGGAATTCAGAAGATTCTTTCACAGGTCTATCGTTGTGATACCAGATAACTTCAGGTTCGGGCTGGCCAACAATAATGCAGTCGAATCTGACGGAATCGCGTTCGAACGCTGATCGATCCTGAAGTGGCATCTGCACGGATGGCTTGATGGGCTCCATGTCGCTCGGCTGTTCGGAATCTGAAGTTTCGTTGGGCAGAAGACCCTTCACTGAGACGTTGCATGAACTGGTCACCGTTCCGGCGATGTTTCGAGCGGTCGCTGCGTACAGTCCAGCGTCTTTTGGGAACGCTTCGTTTATTATGAGCGTCGCACGTTGACCGTCCCGATGCAACTAAAACATTTTATTCAATGTCTCAACTTTGACAAGGATGCCCAAAATGATAATTATATATATATATATATATATACAAAACTTTTCCTAACTAAATATCGATGTCTGTTAAAACACATTTTTGTAACTGTGAACGTCAGTGTAAAAAGGAGTATTACATTGTACACTGCATAATTATTGCCCTGGGCGTTAAATAAATAAATAAATAATTGAACTTACAGGTATAAATTTTTAAAATTGTTTACTTGGCACTAAAGCAATAAATAATAATCAGCGTTAGTTCGTTGAAAAAAAAAATCAAAAGTAGATACATATTTTGAACGATTCGAAATCGAGATATCTATACGTTCGATTATCATTATCTTGCGCAAACTCGACAAGAATATTCAAAAATAAAATAAAATGAGATAAAATACAAAATAATAACTAACTTCTTATTGGCCAGTCAATTCGTAATTGGTTTTATTGCTTTTCTAAAAAAATATATATTCTACTTTCTTTTTATCAGCCCTGTAATTAAGTTTATTTTCGGCAAGAGAAGGAAAGCGAGAAACGAGCAATCGAGTCTATTTTAGTTGACATACGAAACTGGAGCACTCCTCCTCTTTGCTTGCGCCGATACTGATTTTATTTATGTGATAGAGATTGTGGAGTTTTGGCAACGAATGCAATATTATAAATAAAAACACACCAAACGTCCTCCGAAGCATCGCCACATAATATCAAAACCGATAATATGTAGTAAAGCAAATAATTACGAAGTTTTGCCTCATCATTTCGAAACACATGCTTTAATATTGAATCTCAGCCTTGGAATTAATAATTCTATTTAAATAATCTAATTTGTGTTTCAAAACATTTTTGGCATGAGTTTATTTTAAGTAGGCATAGTTAATAAAAATAAACATTATGATTATATTTTTCTAAGTACAGCCTCCGTTTTTTTTTCAATAATTTTAAAAATAATTTATCATACATGATTGTTTCTACGTTTCACTCAAAATCGATCAATACAAATTTTTAAGAATTTTTATAGTTAAACCACTTTTTGAAGGAATGTAATATCCCATCAGACAGTTTCAAACTTTCAAACAGTTTTTAAATTTTCGAAATCGACGAAAAATGTTGCACTTGTTAAATCAACTTTATTAATTCAATTTCTAATAAGTGTTTATTGAATTTTCTTGATTTAAATCCTTCAAAGCCCTTAAATAAAAAAAAATCCGAATCATAGAAATAATTATAAATAAAAACTAATTAAAAGAATATTAAAAAAAAATCAAAGTTTTAGTTCTTAAAAATAAAATAAATAATATTAGCTATTGAAAAAAATTTAAAAAACAATAAACAAAACATTTTTTTGCTACCTTTGAGTCAGAGGTTTCCATGAATGGTTTTCCATTATGAGTCCATTGAATTTGGGGTTCTGGTATACCTGATACTTGGCATTCCAATTTCACTTTTTGGCCGGCTCTTGCCATTGTGTTAGATAGTGGTATTACAAACACTGGTTTTTCAGTTGGTTCAAGAGCTGAATTAAATATTATTTTAATAATTTTATCTAGTCCTTAAATGATATATGAAAAACTTACGTTCAACCATCAGATATGCTTGACATTGATCAATACCAGCATCATTTGTGGCTTTGCACATATACAGAGCATGATCTTCAAGAAATACTTCTTCAAATCGCAAAACGGCCTCTCCATTATTATACGTAATTCCATAATCTTTCGAATTGTCTATACACACATCGTTTTTATACCACTGCACTGTAGGTAACGGATTTCCTATCACTTTGCATTCAAACTGAAAGCTTTTACCTTCCATGGCTTTACCTGGTTTCAATAATTCTACAAACTGAGGTGGTTGCAAGAGAGTATTGACATCAGTTTCTCGAACCGATAACGTTGCACATGTGTCTGCAGAACCATAATTATTAATTGCTTTACATCTGAATTTAGCAGAGTCTTCTGTAAACGTTTCTTCTATTGTTAGACTACACTTTCCGTTCTCAAACACTGTTTTATAGTCAGGATTATTTTGTATACTCATACCATCTTTATACCATGTTACGTCAGGTTCAGGATCTCCAACAACTTGGCATTCAAATGTAAATTTACTACCCTCAGGAACTACTGCATCCGTAAGCAATACAGTAAACTCTGGCGCTTTACCTAAATCAACAGTTTGCGATTCAGATGTTGTTGTTTTTACTGTTATTTGTTGAATCATCTCCGATTGCGCTAGTAACTCCGCTTCCAATTTAGCTTTTTCAGCCAAACTTCTATCAACTTCATCACGTTCTATAGCAGCTGCTTTCAAATTATCTATTGCTGTTCTTAAATTGTCTCTCATGGTTTCGAAAGAAGTCATCATGTCGCGATTGGAATTTTGAATCTTATTGAGATGTGAATATCTGCTATCATCATATAAATCTCTTGCAAGTGCAGACATTTTGTTAAGACGTTCGTTTTGTTTATACTCGCCAGAACTTATAAAGTGTTCCATTTCAGATAATAATTTATTAGCATCGTCTTCAGTCTTTATTGTTGCAATTTTACTAGCTACAGTTAATAATAGTTTGTTTCCTTCTCCAAACCAATCTTCGGTCTAAAATAAAGAAAGTTATAAATACAAATCTTTCACTCATAATTACACATACAGAAAACGTACCTCATCTACCAATTTGAAATATTGCATACTCAAATCAATGAGCCTTCTGACTTCAGAAACTTCATGTCGAAAACCATTCCAACGGCTACTTAGAGCATCCAAATCACGTTTTATACGTGGGTAATCTTTTGTTTGGTCCGAAAATATTTCATTTGAGGATGAAACGAATCCATCAATTCTATTTTGCAGTAGCTAAAAAATCAATATTAATATAAAAGACATTTTAATTAAACATTTAAAATAACTGACAAAAATTATATAATAAAATAAATAAAATATGTGGTATATTATGATTAGGCATACATAATTAACAGTTCTCTTTGATAATTCCTATTATAAACTAGTATTATTCATCCATTTTTATCTCCTACCTCGATCGTTCGTTCGAAATATTCAAACGCCAGTGATGATGCTTTCGCTGTGGCCAAAGTCTCGCCGTATTGTCCTCGTACTGACGCTAGTTGCCTGACCAGATCGTCCAACGTACTATTGATGTCTTTCAAATCTGCATCGAATTGTCCAGTTTTCATTGATTCATCGAGAGCCAATTTAGTTGCATTCCAAGAGGCTTCAAAACATGATTTCCTATGTTCAAGCATCGTCAATATCTTCTCAATGTCGTGTTGAGCTGCAAGTTTTGGTTCCTGCTGCCTAATTTTATTGATACTTCATCACTTTCATTCACAATTAACTTAAACATTTCCATGATTATTTTCTTAGAGGCTTCGTGATCTTTGGCGAAATTTTCGAGGTCAGTTTGTAAATCCACCGGTAATCTATGTTTGCTCTGAATATTTTCAATAGATTTATCCAATTCTGCAACATTTCGCAAGAAGGATATGATAGACTGGACTAATAGTTTGTATTCAGTACTCGTAGTGTTTAATTTTTGTTGCAATTCCTGAAGATTGTTCTTCACTGGCTGCGTTTCATCGAGCAGAGATGTATCTTGAGCGACTAAATCTTCTGTTAAACGAAGTTTAGTTTGTATATCATTCTGAGCTTGTACTATTTCGTTTGTAACCCTTTGCAAGGTACTTTCAGCAAAAGCAACTAATTCACTAGCATTTGATGTAGGGGATGTAAGGACTGGATATATGTTGCTATCTAATTTTGAAATCCAATTAATAACCTAGAATAAAATAATATTGACATAAACATATATCTACATACGTAAATTCTGTTTGCACAATATTCTGGGCTAAGTTCCAAGAACCACAAATGATATACTACAAATTTTTATTCGTAGGCGCAATGGAAACGAATTAAGAACATAATTTATTACAATCATAAAATTTAATAATGCGAAACCTATAACTGTAAATTAAATAAGTTTTTCCAAAAAATATTTTGAATGTTAGGATTATTTTAGCTAAAATAATCTAAGCTAAGATAACAAAATGGTAAAATCGTTTCTTAAATAAAATCACATTATATTGCATGTGTTTGCATAAAAAACTTATAAATACATACATGACAAGCTTATTTTGAAATTGATACTTATTTTTGTGGTATAGAAATGAATAGATACAACATACATTTGTTATTATTATACATAATAAGTAGCATGCGCAAATATTAGTAGAGAAATCTATAAATTCCCTCTCTTACCTGTCTCGTCTGCTCCATGGCGCTTCTCCAATATTGACATAAACATATATCTACATACGTAAATTCTGTTTGCACAATATTCTGGGCTAAGTTCCAAGAACCACAAATGATATACTACAAATTTTTATTCGTAGGCGCAATGGAAACGAATTAAGAACATAATTTATTACAATCATAAAATTTAATAATGCGAAACCTATAACTGTAAATTAAATAAGTTTTTCCAAAAAATATTTTGAATGTTAGGATTATTTTAGCTAAAATAATCTAAGCTAAGATAACAAAATGGTAAAATCGTTTCTTAAATAAAATCACATTATATTGCATGTGTTTGCATAAAAAACTTATAAATACATACATGACAAGCTTATTTTGAAATTGATACTTATTTTTGTGGTTATAGAAAGAATAGATACAACATACATTTGTTATTATTATACATAATAAGTAGCATGCGCAAATATTAGTAGAGAAATCTATAAATTCCCTCTCTTACCTGTCTCGTCTGCTCCATGGCGGTCGCTCCATCTCTCTCACTCTCGTACACCTGTCGGACGGTGGTGATTTGCGTGCGCCAAGTCTCCTGCTGCTCGATAAGCCTGAACTCTCTTCCGGAGAACCGTTCAGAATTTCGTCGATAAGCGAACAGGCAGTGCCTATCGCCAAATGGCGGTCGCTGACGGCTCGCTGTAATGAAAAACCGTCAAAGCGTTCATGCACGTTCGTGAAATTTAAAATAGATCTGCTGGCAACGGGCGCCAGATACCGGCAACGATTTGTAAACATTCGATTCGAGCAGTTGCCGCTGTCGAACCATTCGACACGATATAAGAAAATTTTATGTTGATTGATGGTGTAAAAACTTTGTTTGAATACAATGGGATTAAAGAAATTATAGAATTTGGTTATTTCCAACTATTATGACTTCAAAAAATTTTAAACAAAATTTCACTAATTTCAGTTAGTAAGATAATTTATTTATTTACCGGTCAATCTATGAATAAAGTAAATCTATAATGAAGTAAATTGTAAATTTTTCAGTATTGTAATATTACCTGCTCTGCAGATCTTTTAAAACCAGTTCCACTGTTCTTAAGCTGATCATACAAGGGCTTAATAACATTCCACTGCACGTCCATAAGTCTAATCTTATCCTCCATCGAATGCGCCGAAGATCGGACCAACAGTTGATCCAATGTATCGAATTCTGCGCTAAGCTTATCTGCATCAGTTAGAAATTGTACGAATACTGAAGAGAGATCCAGGCGCAATTCTACCAAAGCTTTAAGAGTAGTCCAATTCTCGTGCAAACTTTCCACCTTTCGATCAACTTCTCTACGTTGCTCGTCGTCCAGATATTCCAAAATTGGTGGTAAAGTCAGTAACAGGGCGTTGATCTCGTTACCCTTTATCTAGAAATAAATAATTATTTTCAATTTGTTCAAATATCAAATAACGATCAATAATTACAGATGAATAAAATTTCATTCAAACGTTAAACACAGAAAAATGGGCTTATTTGATGGAATACTTATCAAATAATTATTATCTAACTGCGGTGTTGAATCTATTGCAATCCTATCTAGTTATTATTTACCTCTAGATTCTTCAATAATTCATGATGGAAACTATAGAAGTCTTTGGCTGTGGGCAGATCATGTCCCATGTCCCTGCGTTCCTTCAAAGAGATTTCAGATATCGTTCTAAGCCAGGATGAAAGTTCATCTTGTTTTTCCTGGAACGCAAACAACGCCTCGCCGATTTTTCTGTCCGTCCTTCGCATCTCATCGCACTTTCTCCTCAATTCTATCGCTCTGTTCTCGATCTCTTCTAATAAATTTCTGACACCTTGTGATCCCGGATTGTTGACACCACATTCTGTTAACAAATCTCTTCCTTCTCGAATTACGTCCTGCGTAATTTCATCAACAGCATTTGTTATAGTGACCGGAGTGAGACGAGGCAACATTCCTACCAGGTCGTTTTGTCGTACTTCGCGTTCGAAATCATCAAGACGATTTAAAACCTATGAAAATAATTAGTTATAGTATTTATATGATGGTACAAATTCAAAATATTCATAATATGTAAATCTTCTTCTAGTATTAGCTTTTTTAACGTATACAACATTTACTTACTTGTCGTCCATTTTCGTAAAATGCTTGCGCTCGTGTCAATAATGTTTCCCTGCTTTCCAAGTCGTTTAAGAAATCTGAACATCCTCCCAAAACACTATAAGCTTTATCACTGGCTTCGCGTCCTGCAAAACAGCCAGATTTTACCAACTGTTCGGTAGCCCTGGTTATTTTAATCGCACGCTCTTGTAATTCTTTAACTTCCTTCAAAAAATTGTTAATATCCACTATCAACATTGAAGTTTCATACTCGGATTCACCCAGATAAATATCCGATCCAATTCGTTCTTTATGTTCCCTTATAGCATCTTCCAATTCATGTAAGTCTCTCGCCAACATAGCCAAAGCCAAACATTGCTCTAACCGATTTTTTCTATTTTGCCATGAAATTTCCAAGATTTTCCTCCTATCGTGCATCGCTTCCAACCAGCTTTCAACTTGTTTGATAGCAGATCCAATTGACGGTTTAATTTGTCCTGGCCTAGAATCTAAGGTACCTATATTATTTAAATCTTTTAAATGGTCTAGTAAATGGCCTCCCTCTTGTAGAGCAGCCATAACAGATTCCAAAACCGATCTTCTCAAATCGTGTATTTCAGTGAGAGCTTGTTTAACTGCATCAATTTGAATGGGAAGTTCCTCATCGCGACAAATAATATTAAGGGCTTCCATACGTTGGAGACATTGTTCGAAATTTGTTTGAAAGGTTACACTCAGGTCTAATATTTGTTTTCTGTGTTCTAGGTGATTATTTATGCTCTGCCACGCAGTTCCTAATGATTCGGCCATCGCTGCATAGACCTCTGGTTCCGGACGCTGGGAGGATACTTTCTTATCGACTTGGCGCATTAACTCTTCGACGGGAGTAGCCTTGTTCTGGAAAAAAGAAAAAAGTCAAATTATTCGGTCTCTCATTATCACTACATAAAATCAATATAATTTAATATTAATTGAAATTTATTAATATAAATTGTATAATATTTGAAAGAAGGTCATTCTTAAATTATATTTGACTTGTAACTTATCTGATAATAAATAATTTAAAATTTACTTCTTTTTAATTCATAAATGCACTTTTAACTTATTACAAAATTGTTAGCAATGTAGAAAATTCAGTCTAGCATACAATTTTACTTTTTTTACTTATAATTATGATATTAATATTATATAAATGCGATTGAATTTATTTACAGAACATCCAGTAAAGTCAATATAAAATAACACCACATATAATACATAGTTAAACTTAAAAATTATTTCATTAAAATTTTTTTTTTCATTCATATTACTCAAGATATATAACTTACATTAAGATTAAGCCTGAAGCAAACTTCAGTTTTTGGATTAAAATAAGAAACCCTACTGTATTTACTTACATCGCTTTATAAACTTTATGAAAATAAATAATAATTATGGAGCACATCCTCAAATATGATGTATTGACAAGCAAACAAGACAGCCAACATGCTTTTCGCCCACATAAAAACATATAGCGGTATACGCCCTTTCGGATGCAATCTGTAGGCTGTTGCACCCATAAAAGCGTGAAAAAAAGATCACAAAATACAAATACCGTGATTTTAAAGTCTGCTGAAAAAGTTACTACTTTATTTATTTATATCCTCGATATAAATCATTTAGTTTTCCTCCTGGAACAAAAACGACAAAATATAAACGTCGCCCTACTTCGCAAGCAGATATAGCATCTCACAGCGCAAATATCACTTTAATGACTTGCTATAAATCATAAGAAAAGTTTACAAATAAATTTAACGAAGAATTAAATTCAAACATTACTGGAAATCGAAAGTAGTACAAGCTGGCTGTTATTTTTAGTCCATTGAATTCTACACTACTATGCACAGAAATTGCGAACGTCGGGCTGCTATGTAAATCAACTTAGGCCCAAGTTGATGATTTTAGTCGTGTGGGCGAAATCAATGCTGGTCCTTTATAGTTGTAAATAAATAAATCTTAGACTTCCGACTTCGATCGCCAAATAAATTATCTCGTAACGGTTTGATCTACTAATAGAAAATAAGAGGAAAACGATTTTTATCTAAACGATAATTAATGGTCATTTCTTACAGCAATTTTTCTATGATACGATTAAAACATTCCAGACAGCAAGTATCTAAAGGGTTTCTTTAAGGAGGGATGTTATCAATTTCATATAGTGACACATTTTTACCTTGAGCTGTCGTAGTACTTCGCTGTGTGCAGTTTGCAATTCGACGGCTTCTTGCAGATCGTTACCGATGCTCGTGAGATCAGGCTGAGCCTCTACCAGTTTAACCGTTATCCATTCACCGCTCTGAAAATTAATCATACATTAATGAAAAGCATAAAAAATTTAACACATATTTGTAATAAAAGATAAAATGATAAAGAACGTCGCTAATAATAATGTTAGGGTATTAAAATAAAGTAATGTTGAGTGTATAGTAAGGAAACAGAAGAGGATTGTGGTCAAACAGCTGTTTCTCCAAAAATAATTTAGATTTTAAAAAATCTTCTCGTACACATATTCTTAAATAGTTAAACTTTGAAAATATGAAACAAACCAAATCTTTTTTTTAATTTCTACAATGGAATACCCGCTTAACTCACCTATGCAAAATTATGCACATGCTATGCATTTTTACTTGATAATCTTGTCTCTTCACTATTTATTAAATTTTACAACAATAC